ACATCAAAACAATTGCGTTAGCGCCTACTTCAACTACAATCATTTATGATAACCCTGTATATTAGAATTTACTTGCAATACAATGCATGGGTGATAATTTATTCTATTGTTTACTTTCGGAACGTAAGCGAATCCCCTAGGGTGCGAAAAAAGTATCCCGTTTTCGTCTGTCTCTCGTCTGTGTCAATTTTTCTAGACAGATAATAATCTCCGAAACCAATGGACTGGTTCCCAGTAAACACAGTTGTGATGTTAACGTGTCAGGTACGTACTCACAAAAGAACAATAAGTACATCGCATGATTATGTCTTAACGATATACCTGGAACGTAAGCTATATAACATCACAATGGAGTACTCATGCTATGTAACAAACACGTAATGTTGACTACATTTCCTAGATATCTCATTATTATGTCGCAGCGATATAGCTTGCATATAAGCATTTAAACATCACACTGTGGTACTCCTGTTATGTAACTAACACCTAATGTTAACTGCATTTACTAGATATCTCATTATTGTGTCGCTGCGATATAGTTGGCAGGTAAGCCTTGTAACATCACAATGGAGTACTACGGTTATGTAACCAATAAGTAATGTTAACTGTAGTTACTAGATATCTGATTAATATATATATATACATGCTTCGGAATGTTATTAGTTAATTATGCGTGTGTTTGTTTTTCAGTTGATTTTACAAAATGGCATGTTAAATCGAAAATTAACGTTTCTGACAGGGCCACAGCAAAAAACATTTAAAAACATACATATCGAGTATTATATAGCTCTATTTTATATTTATTATTTACGTTTGTGTTGCAAGTAAATAGTATATTCATAACAAAAGATGCTGAGTCTTAAAAAAAGAAATTTCTTCCCTGTCTTAAATCTTGCACAAGCGAGATGACGCCAATAGTGAGTTGCTCTTAATTTTTTTTTTCATATTATATTTCCTGTAATTATATTTATTTATAATTTTATTTTTATAAGTGCATAACGACCTGCGCTTTATAAAACAGAACAAAAGACTTAATGCACATAGTTTATGATCAGAATTAAAAAATGTCCCATCTAACAGGTAATACGAATTAAGACTAGTAATGAGACATTATTTTTTAACCTCTGCCTATGCGTCACTGCCAAAAAGGAACAATTATACATATACAGAATTTTGAAATGACCTCGAAAAATAAAATGATATATTTCATTATTTTATTAATTCTAATGCAAAATATGTTGATCGGCAACAAAAGCAACAAAAAGAAAAAAATCGAAATTAAAAACCAATCTATTTCAAGGTCAGCGATATCGTTCTTAAATAAAAATGAATTAAACAATTTCTTCACTTTGATCGTAAGGAAAATAAATAATAATTTGAATACAAAACAATAATTGATCATTGAGTTTTGTGTATTGACTTTCGCACTCAGTTATAGGTATATCTGTTTAACATTAAATTTTCAAAAGTTTAGATTTTTCCAATGTAATCTTGGGCTCTAAAATAAACTGGTAATGTATAATGTATAATTATAATTGAGTATTTTTGTGGTTGATCTTTAAATTATTATTTATTCAAAAAATTCACTTAATTTCATATCCAATATGTAACTAACTGAAAACTGATAATAAAGCAGCAGATATGACGAAATAGTGTAGACTTTTTTTAATGTCGGTAATAGAGTGTATAATAATGTATAATAACTAGAGAGCGGAAAATATGCAGCAAAATTTTGGGAAATATGATCATATGACATGCATCAAATTTATGCAAATATGCAATAACTTTCTTAATATATGCAGAGATATGCAGTTGCACATGCTCAAAAAATTAAAAAAAGCGTAATAACCGAACTAAATTTATTTACAAATTGCAAAAACACCTTAACTTTTATTACAAAAAATACATAAATCACATTGCAAAGTGTTTAATTAGATCTCACTGACAAATAAATGACATTTTTAAGATAATATTCTTATACTCAAAAATAAATATAGGTAAACAGAACGAATTAAAAAATAGTAGTAATCGACTATTTAATTACTATTTTGGTAACAATTTATTTTTAAATATTTTTCGAAATATTCTAACAAAAATTTTTCCGGTGATTCTAAAGTATGTATTTGTAAATAAAAAAACTGCGTACTGCGTCCACAGATGTAAAAATACTTATCGGATTAGAGCAGGCACAACAAAACACAATTCCTTCTTGAAGAATAAGTTCAGGAAAAGGTTTAATTCATAAATTAATTTGAGTTATCTACATATTGACACACATCTCTATCGCTTTAAATACTTAAATGCAAACTCACGATGAAAAATAATAGGATAACGTCCCTTCGACCACCATAAAACATACCATTAATACACTTAAGTAACGAACAAAAATATTGAAATGAACGGTATTTCCAAAAGTAATTAGGACCCGAATTTACCTGGAAGGATGGCTTAACACCCAGTGGTTCCTCCAAACTACCATAAAACCCAAACCCAGTTATTTGAAGCTCAGGACAATATTTGCAATATGATTCATGAAGTTTCGTTTTTCTAGAAAAATGCCGATCGAATGGCATTTTTTTTTCAAAGTAGCACAAAAATTGATAAAAATGCAAAATATGCACCCGGTATGTGAAATATGCAGCAGAAGGCAAATATATGCAAATATGCAATTTTTTATAGCTGCATTCATTTTTAATTAGCATGATTAGTTCACATATTAAATATCAAGACTTATATGCAAAAAATAACGGATATGCAAATTTCATAAAATCCGCTCTCTAATAATAACCAATACCTGCGCCTAAATTAAGGAAAATTTCCAACTGCACAATCGCAATAATCCCCCTTGTGTTCTTAATAGTACTTTTACACCTCTCCCCCTTCCCCCCCATTAAAGTGCAGTATGATTTTGTCGATTTTGTGAGAATACCTACAACATTAATAATAAATAAATAATAGCAAAACGCAAATTCAAAATAAATATATTGTAAAGTTATAAACAAAAATCTAAAAAAGGCATAATACCGACACGATTAATACATACATATATCACTATTTAAAGGTACATCACAAAAGTGTGTGTGTTGTCTTCCCAAAACAGAAGACTAAAATAATTAATTAAGCCACAATCGAAAAAAATGTTCTGAATTTTATTATTATAATTCTTATTTTGTCATTTTTAAATAAAGACTTGCGTATTCTCATATTTTTAAGAAAATGGGGTGACACGTTCTTAATTGGATCAATAAAAAATTTGTGATGACGCCAATAATAATGTAAATAATACTTGTCATAGCACAAAAGAAAATTAGAAACAGCGCATTACCAATGCAAGAAAAAACCAAAGTGATAAGAGCTGTGAAGGCAGTACGACTCCGCAAGTACGACTGATAAAATTTTTGTTGTGCAATTTTTCGAAATCACTGAGACAAGTGTTATTGTTAAGCAGGTACGTGACAGAGCGAAAATAGCACATCTGGGGTTTCTTGAGGTTCCAACTTGACAAATAAAATCATAAAAATTCCTCGATTCTTTTCGGTGAAGGGATGAACCGGCGTCAGTAATAGTAACTTACGCTCGGGAAGTAAAAATGTTAATAATGTGAAAAAGTTACTGCACAAATTGCAATTTCCAGCTGCACAAATGCATTTTTGAACTGCACAAAATGTGTAGAAGTGCACATTAATTTAGGCCCTGCCCAATACATCCGGTATGTTTCTGTTGTTGTCTTCGTTCGACACCACTGTATTTACAGTATTTAAGCAGGTATACGTTTCCGCCCCTAAAATCCCACGTACGGCATCTTTTGCCCAAGTAAATACAGCACCTGGAATGAAGACAGAAACAGAAATAGTTTTACAACACCTTATCAAAATTTAAAAAAACCACTATGGTATTATTTGAAATTTATTGTTAAAGATTGTGTGGTCAATTAGATGTGGGTCGTCGTATTCTTTAAAAAGTGACCTTCGTCAGTGAGTTCGTAATGCTTAATTAATAATTATATTCAGAGCGAAAAATACAACGGCTTTATTAGAAATACACCAAAGACAAGTTTTTTCATTGTAATAATTTCTAAGAATTATTTCTGTAAACTTGTTCACTTGAAATGTTATTTTGTAAGTACCTGCTTGGCAAATTATAAATAGAACATCTGTAAGGTGACCAGATTTCAAAAGTCCGAAACCGGAACATTAGTTTCCATTTCCATCGTAATCTGATATATAACTGCTTTGAAAATTTTTAGTTGTAATATACTAACAGTACTGACATCTGCTGACATTTAAAACAGTGCAGTGCTGACAACCGTATCGATACAAGTTTTGTTCCCAATTTTTCACAAAATAAAATTACTATTAGTGATTTATCCGAGGATTTATCTTTATTCTTATCAGATTTATAGAAATCGGAACATTCACGGAACGAATGTTTTAATCGGAACATTTATTGGACGAAATTTGAAATCGGAATTATTAGAGTATTGAAATCGGTACAGTTCCGATCAAATCGGAACGTTTGGTCACCTTAAACATCTGGGGTTAATATAGGGAAGACCCAACGACACAAACAAAGCCATAAAAATTCTTTGCCCATTGTCCCTGAAACGGGACAAGGTTTTGAAGAGTTCATTCGTCGAATTTTGATTTTATAACGACGTTTATAAAGCGATGATGGGTAGCAAAAAAACTAGAGAGTGGTTAATTTTGATTTTATTAAATTTATTTTATCTAGTGAAAAAATAACGCTCAACTTCTGCATTTACTATCCACCAGATGTTTGGGGGATGCAGTCGGACCTTTGTTGGTTTGGTTTGTCTATGAGTCGGACGATCCCTTTTTTCCGTATTTATGGTTATTGCACTTCAGACTCACAGTGAAGCTGTCGAATTCCATTTGGCCATTTGGTTCACAACCACCGAACCTTTCTCGTGACTCCGTAAATCACTTCATTTTTAATGCAGTTTTGTGAAAATTGTGCCATTCAGTGTGGATTAAATTTACACTAGGTAAGTTAATATAATTCTAATGAAGTAATCATTTTAATTTTTACATGCTTCTGTTGTTTTTGATAACTGTACGTAAATAACAACAACAGTTTTTTCAGACAAGCTGGAAATACCACCATTAATCACTGAAGATACTCCCGCTGATTTTGAAGAACTTACGGTGATTGTTTTTGAAAGTGAGGCGCTTTGCCATAACATGTTGCAAAGGTATGTTACTGCAATTTTTTATGAACTAGGTGCTAATGAACATAATTTTACTCTAGACTTGAAACAAATACAAAAAATATGTGCGAAACAAAAGAAATTCTAAAGGAAACGAGTGAACAAATCTCCAATATGAAAACGTCATCAAATGTGACAAATCAAAAAGAAAACAGTAATAGAAGATATGCCGCCAAGACCACAGGTAAACAAATTTTGAGGAATTAGAAGATTATCTCTGCCTACTACAACAAGCAGGCTTCTTTGTAAGTTAAAAAAATACAATTAGTCCAGTCAAATTAGCGATCAACCTCGAAATGAGAGATAATAAGCTGAATTTTCGTATATACCTTCATTTTAGCGTTCTAAAAGTTGTCTCAAAAGTCTCATAAAATCTCGTGTCTGCGTCGTAAGTTATTCAAGGTCAAAGGTCAAGAAAAACATTATTTTGCGATTATCTCGGATTCTATTGCTCTAATGATGTTAACACCTATTATCATAATTGTAGAGCACAAATTTGGGACAAATTTTATTTGAAACATTTTTTGATACACTTAATCGTTTTTGAGATAGCGGGCAGTGGGCGCGCAGCGTTCATCCATACATACTGTAATGCAATCAACCGTGAAAATATCTGTGAATACTACCTTGAATTTTGAAAAATTTGTATTATTTATCAGTTAATACATTGCATTTAATAACATTTTGCATATTTGCAATACATTTATTTAATGATACTTACCTACTTTGTGTAATTAAAAACTCTTTAAATGACATATTTATTGTAGGTATATCTTAGGTTAGATTATTATATATCTTAAAGTTATATTAATTTTTTCAAAGTAAATTTTAAGGAAGTAAAACGAGTTCATATATTTTAATTTTATCTTTATTCAGCAGCTGGACATTTCTTACGATTCATCTTGCAGTGAAAATCTATAAATTTTTAATAATTTAAAGAACAAAAGTATCAATTTTCTTCTTCTTCACCGTCATCTTCTGGACGTTCGGGAATTTCTGTTTCATCGTCGTCATCTTCGGTGCCCTGAATTGTTGTTTCCAGACCTTCCCGTTATAATCATGATAAGAAAATAAGTATTTAAAAACTTGCACATTTTAAAGATACAAATAAATTGAGATATACAATAAATATTTCATTAAATGAGTTTTTAATTACACAAAATAGTTAAGTATTATTCTATGAATATATTGAAAATATGTAAAATGTTATTAAATACAATGTATTAATTGATTAATAATACAAATTATTCAAAATTCAAGGTAGTATTGACAGATATTCACGGTTGATTGCATTACAGTACGTATGGACGAGCGCTGCGCGCTCACTGTGCTCTATCTCCAAAACGATTGAGCGCATGAAAAAATATTTCAAATAAAATTTGTCCCAAATTTTGTGCTCTACAATTATGATAATAATTGTTAACATCATTGGAGCAATAGAAACTGAGATAATTGCAAAAAACTGTTTTTCTTGACCTTTGACCTTGAATAACTTACGACGCAGACACGAGATTTTATTAGACTTTTGAGACAACTTTTAGAACGCCAAAATTAAGGCGTATACAAAAATTCAGCTTATTGTCTCTCATTCTGAGGTTGATCCCTTTTTTATGCTAAAATGACTGGACTAAATATATTTATATGTACTTACATATAACATAATTTTGGATATTATATACAGGTAGATGCCTGTAATACTATAACACTTTTTAGGAACCTACTAAACATGACACATTTCGCTTAACACGTTACATACATATTGGGTTGCAGAAAAGTCTTATAGTGAAGCACCCTGTATGTTATACATACGCGGTGACTTCCAAATAGATTCGGAAAAAAAAATCCTTTAATTGTCACACGGATTCAAAGTAATTAAATTGCTGCTCCAGTTTCAAGAAACAAATACGGAACAACTTGTTAAATGTAAATGATGCGGCAATGATTTATTCAGTTTCCATTGTGACTAAATTTTTTTCTTTATTTTTGCTGTGTGTTGCTTAGATGAAAACAAATGACACTGACTGAGGTGTGGATCTTGATATTTTTCCCCTGAATTAGGACTAGATAAAAGAAATTACTTAAAATTTTCTCTACTTCGTGATCTTGTGGTTTTATTTTCCGAACTTAAATATTTCAGAGTTACTCGATATATACACATAAAAATATTTTCTTCTTTTCTTATTTCAGGAACTGCTATTGTCCCAGATAGGTGGTAATGGGAAAAAGAACAATGTGGAGCGTATATTAAAAAAAAAAAAAAATTCAGCGAATTTGCTGTAGCTTGTTTGTTCGGTAGGAAAATTCCAAAATGGTTGGGACAAAAACAATGAATATTATGAAAGGTATTTTTTTTGCAATAAATATAATTATTACAATTTTTATTTTTGAAGAAATTACAATGAAGACCCATTCCGCAATAGAAAAAGAAGTAGAACAACGCTGCTCAGAGTGGCTACGACATTCTAGTCAACGCCTGAAGAAAGAAAAAACAACGACAGTTTATAGTTTCTGTGTCTTTTTTTAAGTGTAAATTATATTGTATTATTTTCGAATTAGGAAATCATATATATATATTTATTTATATTATGAATTTATATTAATTTTTGTATTTTATTACTCATTACATATTATATTTTTTCAAACATTGAATAAAATAATAATTTACTGTAAGCTCTAAATTTTACTCTCCATATCCATATCCCTAAATGGTAACTAGACTTTCTGAAATGCCTATTCATATCGCATAGATCATGTTAATAAAATATACTGAGAGTCATATGTTTACGATGTTGCGATATATACGTAACGTCTATGTCCATTTAATATGTTATATTGGCGTTTAAAATAAAACGTAACAGATACATAAAAATATAGAGAATCTAGAGACATACTAACACAACGTTATGATGATGTACCGCGAGCACGTCTCTAGTCTGAAACGATGTGGATGTCACCAGTATGTTACAAGCATGGGTCACTGTTGATTACATTACATAGCACAGGGAAAGCAAATGTACGCAGTTTGGGATGTAACAGCTAACAAGATCGTAGACAGAGTTAAGTGGCATTAACATCGCTAAAACGTAACTGTGTTTACTGGGTTGTTCCTCAAATTTGTATGTATATTGGAAATAATATGTCCATGGTAAAACGCTAATCAAAATTTGGCTAATCATTCCCTCCAAGAAATTGATGACGTCATCTCATCTCATACTCTATATTAAAGTGATTTAAATGTTATACAATAACATACTCCTACACTTGGGGCCTACGAATCCACTTTGAGTTTTTCCTTCTAGGCACCAAATTTTCGCAAAAGGAAACAAATTATATGATCATCAGTATATAATCATACCAGTATAAACGTAGCAGTGTTGAGTTCGTTGCAGTGCTTATTTTTTTTAATCTTCATCTATAAAATTGGGTGGACCATTTCTTATTTAATCCATAAAAAATATGGATAATGCGGGTCTATCCATATTCTTTATGGATTAAATAAGAAATGGTCCACGCAATTTTTTTTAACCAGATCTTAAGAACAATACACCGCACTGTTTTATTATTACTATTACACTCACGTGTCGGAATTGATACACGTGCCCTTGTCGAAATAATGTTGATCGGCACATTTTCAAGTGGCCAAATTCGCAAGAAATACAGGCATAACTTTCGCCCTTTACAATGCATTCATATTTTTGAAGTAATTGTTAATCCGTTGCCAAGGTCTGCTTGGCTTATGATGCAGGTGAGGTAATGCCTCAGCAACGAATTTGCGTTGTCTTTTTTCTATTATTTCTGACCGATATATTTCTGAAATGAACTGTTTTTCCAAGATTTAAAAAATAAATGCGAAAAATTATTGTTATTTTAATTCTGGTAGGTGGGCATTCGCTGTTCTCATAATAATTAAATAGTGTGCTTCAACTCATCACCAGGACACGCACTCGAATCTTGCCTCTGTAGTGTACGCAAAACAGATGTCGTCCAATATGTAGGCTGTCCGTAATGCACCCATTAGCGGTATGTGTTGAAAAAAGATAAAATTGAGGCTAGCTCCATTTTCCGCGCTTGCAGCAGGCGCACTTTGCTCTATTGTATTACCAGAATGTTCAAAATTAGGCCGCTGAGTATTTTGTGATAAATCTGTGTGTGCAACACTTATTCAAAATTTCACTAAAAGAATATATATTAAATGTTTCTACATTCACGTTTGTCAACTCAATACTGTGGTGGTAGTCATAATTTGATTTCCGCAATCAGGAATGCGAGTAATTTATCGCAAATTGAAATTTTTGTCTACTTAAGCTTATCTTAGTATAATTTTAAAAAGTTGCTTCTTAGACTGTTACTGGTATTAGTTATCTATATTCCATATGTGTTTTAATGTATAAAGGTTTTCATAAATGACAGTTTGTAACTTTTTTCAAAGAAGAAGGATTTGTTTAACTGTACTTAAGGGGCGAAGGAAATCATGTCGAAATAACTTTGAAATAAATTCTTTCCATTAATAAAGTATATAGGGTTAGTTGTAGAATATTAGAAAAAAAAATCATTTTTGTCTGCCATAACTCTAATTCAACAAGGATCAGATTTTGGTCATATTTTGTTCTGTTTTTCCAATAGTTGTGTGTTACTTGGTTTATCGTGACCACATTTTGAGTTTTTCAAAATCTTCTTAATTTTCAACCTTTAAAAAAAAAAAATTATTATGCTTATTTTAGTTTTGCATCTTTTTTTTTAATACAAATTTCGTGTTCTAAAGAGATGTGTAGTTTCCACCTTGCCATGAATTTATACTGATCATATCGTTAAATTTTTCAATACTTGCGCTTCGTAATTTGTAACTTGATAAACTGTGTGTTTATGACAAGGATTAGTTTTATACATAAGTTATATTTTAACTAAAGATCCGCACAACCTGTTGAATAACAATTGAAACTATTTTAATGGAAAACAGAATTTCAACGATTTTGTGGGCTTCGGACACAAAATAAATGATAGGCTACAGAGAAAATATTACATTATATGATATTACCATTAATTTGAAATTTATGTACGATTCGGTGGTTACTCTAGAAATTTTTCACTCATTTCGAGTTATTGACGATCGATCGAAAAGACGAGATTATGGTTATAAACGATTATGTAGATTTTCGTTTAAATGTATCTCACCTGTTACATCCACATTTCAATATTTTTTTTATAAAATTAGATTCAAGTTTTTTATGAAACGCATTAAACGTGATTGTGTCATGATCAAAAATAGACGTACACAATTAATGTCCATTATTTCGCAAATTTCCAGTAAAAGCAAAAATAAGAAACAAAAAAATGCTACCACGCACTTTGTCTATTCATACTTAGAACACAACACCTGTCCTTTCTGCAGTTACAGAATTATTGCTTCATAGCTCTTCGTATGGTGTCGCGTGGATACATACCCTCGTTTCGTGGACATTTGTTGCCCCGACATCACAATGACGACCACATCCATGGCCCAATAATTTTTGGCAGCCATTTCCCGCTCAGTCGATCTTCCGCGGTGTCTTCTCAAGATTTATACAACATTGAGAAATTCCCAGAATGAACATGGGAAATTCACGTTCATTATCCAGTGTCATTATAACGAGAGCATTTCCTAGAACCGGTGACAGTTAACTAAGTCATAAATTCAAAATGCAGTGCATGTTTATTATACCATGGAATAACTTAGTCTGCATAAATATTGAATTTATAAGAGCCGACGTGTCTGTCTGGAATACAACCCGAATTCCTTATAATATATTCATTTCACATGACGCAACTTAATGAAAATAAAATTTTCTGTTGGGTGTTCTTTATGCGTTAAATTCTCCAAATTCCAGCCGAAACTCGGGATTGTAATTGTTTAACGTTCATAACTCGCGATCATTATCGTTCTCTGCGGTAAGGAAGACTGCACTTTATTTCACCCTTAGCGCCACATTCTTTTGGATTTAACGACAAAAATGTCGCGCTTTTTCAGCAACGAGGGCATGAATGCGATAACAGGACCGGCGAGCTGTCAAAAAATTCCTCGCAGCTATCATTAACACCGCCATTAAATTGAGTTCCTTTCGGAAAATAAGTGGCGTAATTTTAGAGGTAAGAGAGTCTCCATCACTCCTCGAAATTGTTCTTTGAAGAGGCCTTTGTTCGACCACCACTAGATCAATTGCACGGAAAGGAGCTTCTAACAGGTCTCCAGAAAAATTCGGTAGTCGACCTGTAAACTCCGGGTTAATGTTGTGTCTTGGCAGAGATTTTATTGTGCACAATAAAGTGGTTACGACACTATAATATAGTGTTGATTCAAGTGGTCACTGCCTCACACGTTGACAAGACTGCGAATGCCGTATGCGGAATGTGGGGCACATTGGAGCTGATTGCATCACCAGGAAACATAAATAACAATACCAGCAAGACCTCACTAATGAAGTAGTGCATGTACATAGAAGGCATGTTGTGCGAAAGACCTTATGGAGTCCCGTCCTGATGATGGATCGATGAGATATGGGACATGTTAACAGGAAATTAATTTAACTGTGCGCATTCCTCGTTACAAGCATCGTAGATGTTAACGAGATCAATAAAATTGACTGTATGTTCAAGTGGCCAGAATTATTGCTGTGTCTTGTGCATGGAACCAATTTGTGAAGCGGCATGCTGAGCTGGTTTATGAGGGTGCTGCCATTCCACAGCTATGTGTCGATATAAAATTTTATGTTGTTTATGTTTAACATTTTCATGGGTGGCTTATGGCCGGTGCCGCATGTTCCATTTAAACTCCTAAGATGAGATGGTCCATAACGGCGCAAGAACGGGAAATGGAAAATAACAGAGCTATTAGTGGGTGTGACAACAAGTACATAGGACACTCCATCATAGCTTTTATGGTAACATCTAACTGTTGCTTAATGGAAGTAAAACTCCGTTGTCGGATCCTAGCACGAGTCGAACACTCGCTTTATTATTCCCTACCATCAGCAGAAGGTTCGCTTTGATTCCGTAAGGGTAGCTTCCAGAGAAATTTGGGCCAAATTAATATTTACCCACATTAGGAAAATGGTCACATAGATATGCTTCCGACATTAATGAAGGCGCTTCCATGGCGACAATTTAATGTTTTATCACCACCCCGATTTTTCCGTAAAGATCAAGTACGATAAATAAAAAGGGGAACGAATAACACGTCAGGAGAACAAATATATATAGTCGCATTTTCTGGAAAAAGAAAAATTATATTGGGAAAATTTCATAACCAATTTCCTCCTAGCAACGAAAAAATGTTTACACAGTTCCCTTTCGGTGTAATACCAAATAAATATTAGAATTTTATGCTCTCACAAATCTCCGTATAATATTCTGATCAATCAAAATCCAAGGGATTTGTGGAAAATGCTACAACAGCCGCACCTGAATCGTGCTCAAAGCCTATTAAGTGTAAGCACCCGCCCTCGTTGGTAATACTCATTAAAA